ATTTACCCATGAATAAACATGCAGTATATAACAAAGAAGTGGCTATGAATACACTGGTCTTTGTGCCAGCAATAACTTAATAAACATTATACATCTAAGGCACGCAAGCATTTGAATTTTATGATTATTCTTGGTTGAACAATTGTACCAACATCACCACTGTCTGCTTAGATGTAGCCCTAACACAAATTTAAAAGCAGTTTATTCTGTATCTCACATTGAATATTTAATTAGATGCAACTTATTAGGCTTCTCACATTTAATGGACTGGCCTCGGCCAAACGGCCCAAACATGCACCTAATTTTTGCACCCTTGTACAAATTAATAATGTATTAATGTTGCCATGCCATGCACATTGAATGTCTCGTCTCCTATGTATCCCTGTTTCTAGTTTATCCTCCTGTGTGTAAAGGGGGAAGAAAACTGAATAATAGCCTTTTAGAGTATTAACAACTTTTAATTACTAAGACAATTATACGATCCATGTCCCGAGCAGTATACATTCTACATAAATGACAATTTGATGAAACATAATAAAAGGGATAAAATAGTTGGTTCAGTGCACGAGATTCTTGTTATTATGAGATCTGGATAGGGTCAGATGCACGCAGTTTAAACTATGCATGGAGAGTGTTTTGGGTTTCAAATCGGTGACTTCAAAGACACAGTGGAGCAACTTTAACATTGTGACAAGGGACAGCTCAATATAATTTGAGGTCTTATGCGAATAAAAATAAAGTGGTCTTTTAACATAATCTACACATTTGTTCATGTTAGTAATATGATCATTAGTTGTTTCATGATTTTTAATTTTAGCACTAATATTTTTCTTAATCTCTAATTCCATTATTAATTAATTGACTTGTGCTTTCTAGTAGACATATTAAATAATATAAATAAATGATAACACCTCACAAACAAAATATATAAGTTTATGATAACAAAAATAGATAAAACTAAAAAATAATTTAATTAATAAAATAATAGAAACCGATTTCGAAAAATTTGGTTCAATACTCCAAACAAATTCTTCAATAGAGAAAAGGTATATTCAAAATTGTCTAACGAAATGAGAGTGAGATTGTAAATTGTAATGAGTATTGAATGGAGAAGAGAAAAAAAGAAAAAAATTATAATGAGTAAGAAACATATGTGTGGATTAAGGAAAAAAAAAATGGAAAAAGTTAATAGGATTCTTTAAAAATTATAGAACAATGAGGATATATATATATATATGTATCTTTTAGGACCTTTTTATTGGTTGAGACCTTAGGAATCGCCTAACTTGCCACGACTAAGCCCGACCTAGCCAAGACCCAATCTCTTGATGAAACATAATGTGAAGGAGTAATAGCCATAAAAAATACTCAGATTTAACCAAAAAAAAGGATAAAAAATAAAAATTGCTCAGAGATGAGAATCAGTTGCATATGAAAGAAAAAAACAAAGTAACCGCATAAATAGTAAGTGTTGGTTTGGGTATGCAAATCCAAAGCGTATCTCCTTCGAATGGGATGAAGAAAAACAAAGGAGAATACCTTTTAACAGGAACATTCACCTCCAAAAGATATATTCCTTTTGAATGATTTAAATGCCGATAAAAGAGCTAAGGCAAATCAATGCTTTTGCTTTTAGGTTCTTATTCTTCAATCTTGCTCTCTCTTTTTGAGCTGCTTAATTATTCTTTTGCCATTGTAAAGATTTGTAATGTGAAGTTCAGCCTAAAATACATTTAGACACATCACAAAAGCAATAGCTAACTAAAAATTAATATATCGAGTACGGTCTAACAATCGTATAACTCTGGCTAATTTGATGTGATCGAGTGGAAACTGATGTTAGCCTCATGTCATCACTCACAATCATCATGTCAGCCCCTATTCACATTAAGCCAATTAGAGTTGTGGCCGTTAGAGTCTAAATGATTTTCTGTTATAGAAAAAATGATCGAATAGGAATTTATGAGAACAAGAGAAAAATAATGACAAGAAAAATGAATAGGCACACACAAAAGGGATAAGGATTTATACGTGGTTCACCCTCACAAATAGGGTTACGTCAACGGGCAATAATGATTCGTATCACTAAAAAGAAGAAGATTACAAACTGAAGAGCGTTTTGGTTCTTCCTCACAACAATCTCTCTTCTCACACCACTCACTCACCAACAAAGAAGACTCACTCAACACTCAAGAAATACCCCAAATAGTATATGATTTACACAAAAAGAAAAATCCACCCAAATACAAACTTCAACTCTCTCTTGAAGATTGTATACACAAAAGGATTTTCTCACACATACAAAACCAATATACTCTCTTAATCCGAATATTGTCTTACTCTTGGATGCCTCTCGGATGCTTCAAATTATGGAGGGCAAAAGCTATTTATAGCCAAAATAGGACACCAAAATGAGACTACTTGGTGACCACTCAAAAGACTTGTTGGGCACACATTCTTGGAGGCCAAGAATCTTGATGACATCATAGGTGATGCAAGCCTCAAATTGAGCCATATGTTCAACATTTTCTTTATATAAAACCACATGCAACAGCAAACTACATATATACTCTGATATCTTCATCACACTATGACTTCCGCAGTCCCACATAGCATATGTTTGTACATTTGGCTATGTACGTATCTCCATCTTGAAATATGCATGGCTAACTAGCATTTTGAGGTTCTACAATTGTGATTTCAGTGAAGAGCCATCTAAACATGGATTTCTTTGTTCTCTTACCAACCTATTGGTTCCTAGTTAACCCATGCATTTAGCATGAATTAGAATTGAAAAAATAGAGATTGAAAAGTAGGCCGATTCTTCCTTTGTATGAATATGTTTAAATATATAGATATAGATATAGATATAGATATTCGATTTGATATGTCTGAGGCCGCTGAGTGTGGACAAACATTGAAAAGATCATTCTTTGCTTTCGCATCATCCCCATTGTGTATATTCTCCTAAAGGTACCTTTCAAATATATGGTCTAACATAGCAAGAATCACCCTCTACTTGACCATACATAAAGGTATCAGAATGAGAAGTTGCATGCAATAATTTTGCATATTGTGGATGATAAAATAACTTTCTTTCCCGTAAAATGTTAACCACCAATGTAGCAATTAATACAAGAAGTCAAAAAATAGAAGTGCAGTAATATATCATAACTAGCTTACAAAAAATTGCAATAAAGAAAACTTTAGAACCATAAAAAATGGACATTAAGGTCCGTCTGACAATAGTTTCTGTTTTGCGTTATTGATGTCATCTGAACACAATCATGGTCATATATAATCTCATTGTTATTTCTCTGTATGTACCAAATTATATTTCAGTTCTCATTGATTTACTATATATATATATATTGAGACCTGTTTCTTTATATATAGAAATCACTAATTTTAAGTTTATATTATTTTTCGATATGGTTATTAATAGTCTAATTAACGCCATAGTCGAAAGCGATTACAATAAATTCAAATGAATGATACATTCCAAAATACCAAATTGAACTACTAAGGTTTTAATATAATCAGGAAAATGCATCAAATTGATACATTCCAAAATCCCAAATGAAACAGTCACATAAACATAAATCAAATGTGCTTCATACACAATCTAATTCATGGAAAGGAATAATCATCACAGACCCTAATCCTATAACCACAAACATATATATATATATATATATACATTAACGGATATAAATTTGCAGGGATCAATTAATGAGCAGGAATGAACAGATTAAGTATTATCAATGAAGCATTAATGTTTTTTGTTATGTTATGATTTATTTCAAAACACAATCATGTTTGGTAATTGCTGTTAGTCAGCAGGGCTGAAATATTTTTTTCCCAGTATTATATACTACTGATTTCTTTATTTTCTTATTTATTATTATTATATAATTATAAAATATTAAGATTACCCACACAGAAATTACCAAAAAGAAATCCACTGTTGCCTCCATGTGACCACACCTAATGCATCTCACTCCTCCTTGCGATGGTTTTATTTATTTATTTATTTTCTTATGACCACCCCTCTCATATAATTTTTTGAGTTCGTCTCTGATTGTCGCATAATGTTTCATAAAAAAAAAAAAAAATTTTAAATTTTTTTGAATGATGTTAGAAAATAGAATTTACATTGACCATTTTTTTTTTATTTTTTTTTATCCTCACACTTGTTCTTGCTTTCAAATTCTAGTTACAATAATTGATCAATAGCAGAATCTTAAACAGAAGGCAAAAATTAGATGGTTGCAGGTTGGGGAGTAACTAAACATTTTTTTTTGTCCCAAAACTATAGGGTTAACATCGACCAAAAAAGTGTGTAATCCTCGGTTCTACAATAGGTGATTAGTTTGAAGCTGGTCTATCTATAAATTATGGAGAAGTTATTAGTGCCGATTCGGTGCTTCCAAACACAATATTAGTTTCTTTCCAAACTCTTTTCAGTTAGCCCTAAATTTAATTTCCAACCAAGAATACCTCCTGAATCATTATTTGGATTCTTCTCTTGAATTCTGAATGTAGGAATCCTGACACGTCTGCAACTTCCACAATCAACATGGTCAAACACAAATATTTGTATATGAAATTTGTTTCACATGCAAGAAAAAGAGAATCATTTGATAAATTAACTTGATATAAATTAACTAAATAAGTAATCCATGCAGAATTTTCATAGTTTGGTCCTATTAATATTCTAAACAAAAGGCCGATCTATGTTCAAGTAATTTGAAAATTAAGTACAACCACCACATCATTCCCAACCATAATTAATCAAACATTCATCATGCAACAATACCGTTAACTAACAATATATATATTCAAGATTATCATTCAAGATACAAATAGTAACAGCTGTTCATACTTTCTATTACGTAAGTTGTGCAGTACTCATAAATGGAAGGCACATCACTGGTACTGACGTTTTATACCTGAGTGAGTTGTGCACAGTAGTCGAGACTGTCGCAAGATAGGGCTTTAACGCCTGTGTTCCACCACATGAATCCAGAGCTGAACTAGTGTGTGATAGGCGACTGTATTTAACATTTCTCGAAATGATACACTAAACTCACTCTATCTAGTTAACTTAGAAACTGGCCCAGATATATAATTAACTATATTAAACAACCAACCCAACATAATTACTTACTTAATTTCAAGCAACCCTAGGAACAATCTTGCAAAGCAGTGGGTTCTTCATTTCAAGAGAGAGCTTCAAATTCTCAGACAAGTCCACACCATTAATATGATCAGAAGGGACCCATTTGAAGCTCTGAAGCAACTGAGCCAACCAGAGATGAACAGTGGCCAAACCCATAGCTTTACCAGGACAAACCCTCCTTCCAGAGCCAAAAGGAGCCAACCTCAGATCAGACCCCATAATGCTCACATCCTCATCCATGAACCTTTCTGGTTTGAACTTCTCTGGCTCTGACCACACATTTTCATCATGAGTGATTGCCCACATGTTAACCATGGCTGTGGTTCCTGCTGGAATCAAGCTATCACCCACATGGACGTCGTGAATGGCGAGACGAGACCACGAGAGAAGTGGCCCTGGCGGGTGCATCCGGAGAGTCTCCTTCACGATGGATTGAAGGTAAGGGAGTTTTGGAATGTCGGAATTAGAAACTACTCTTGATTCTCCGATGACAGCATCGATTTCATTCTGGGCTTTGGATTGGATTTCTGGATGTAATACCATTCTTGCTAGAATCCATTCTAGCAATATTGCTACTGTATCAGTTCCTCTGAAAATCATTTCCTGTAAAGGACGTGATAAGGCAAAATGGTCAGTTACATAAATAGAACTACTTCAGTCCCTTAGTAAGCTAATTATATATATATATATATATATATATATATATATATATATATACACACACACACATACGAAGAAAAATGATGGATGGATATATTCATATAAGTCCAGGTGATGTCATGTCATTAATATTTATTGGTCACTTTTCTTTTGGATGTGCATATTCATCTTAATTTTTATTTTTGAAAAACATTTTCTTTTGGTTAATTTTGAAAAGTATTTTCTTCATAAGTTGATTGTGAAGTTTGTGGTCCAAATTTTGTTTCAATTGAGTAGCGTTATAATACAAATATGACTTAGAAAATAAATTTTGTGTTGGTTCGACCAGATTTTTCTTACAGGTCGTGACTTGTGTGTGTGTGTTTTTTAAAGATCGTGATTCAAGTTGGTACGCTCTCTTGTCACCCAATGTACAAAGGTTATTACAGTTTGTAGTGTGATATTAGAGAACATTGAAAGCTGTTTTAGAGAGTCAGCGGGAGATAAAGGTTTATGGGCTTGTAAAGTTTTTGCTTCCTATAGTAAAATATTTTGTTGGATCTTCAGTGTATGTAAGTGTTTTGTTTTGTTTTTTGTTTATGTTGAACTACATAAATTTTTGTCCAATTAGGTAAATTTTTTTTATCTTGTGTGCATATATATATATGTGTGTGTGTCTGTCATAACATTGATAATAGAAAAAGAATAAGGCAAAGTGGAAGATAGAGCAACATACCCATAGAACAGCTATCATATCAGAATCACTAAGTTTGTCCTCTTTCTCCAAATTTAGCAACACATCAACAAAATCTTCAAAACTCTCTCCACCTAAAACTCCACCAATCCTCTTCACTCTATGGTCTTCTATGATCTTTCCGACAAATAGATTCACCTTTGAAGCCAAACTCCTGCACCTCCTTCTCACTCCTTGCAAATCCAACCACCCCAGAAGAGGAAAATGGTCACTCCAGTTGAATATCCCAAGCAGCTCATACCCTTCACTTACCAACTTTTCGAGCTCAAACCCATCTTTACCATCATCAAAATCATAGCACCTACCAAACACAGTCATCATCACATTGTTCAAAGACCCAAAATGGAGAACCTTCTTGACTTCAACCTCACCTTTCTTACCCATCATATCTCTCATTTCATCCACTATTTTCAAACCTGTTTTGCACCTGAAACCCTCAAAACCAGCTATTCTCTTAGGGCTGAACATATGCGTCGATGAGATTCTTCTCAAATTCCTCCAGTATTCTCCATAAGGAGCGAAACCCATAGCTCTATGAAAGAGAAGCTCATAAGCTGACTCCTTCACTGGCCGGTCAGCGAAGGCCGGGGAATTCAGAATCTCTTTTGCTGTTTCTGGATGGCTCGAAATGATGAAACGAGTGAAACCCACTGAGAAAGCCATCAAACGGACAGCATCAAAGCTCCGAGCGAGCTTGGCAAGAAGACGGTGAGGCGTTAACCCAGTGAAGACATACAGTAAGCCAGTCAATGGGAATCCAGGAGGACCGGTAACTATTTTCCAGTGACCGGAACTAGAAAGAGCCCAAGCAAGTCCACCAGGGACCAGCCATAAAGCAAAGACACCAAACAAACAAAGAACAGCTATTAATACTTCAAAGCTAAGAGCATATGATTGAGGAAGGAACAATATATGGTATTGTGGCGACATTTTTGCAAATTGGGGTATTCCAAAAATGAAAACAGAAGAGTTTTTCAGACTCAGAGAGAGAGAGACAAAGAGAGAGAGAATGGCTGTGAAGGCGCGAGTGACAAGGGTGTGTGAAGATTAGTTTAAATAGAAGTTAGTTGGGCGGTTGGAGAACTAACCATGGTTAAACCAGGGTTAAGTTACAGTGGTTAAAAGCTGGTTCCATGAGATTACAACTATTATATGGTTGCAACTTGTAATTAATTTTATTTGATTCCACAAAATATTAAATGTGATCATTCAACAATAATCTTGAACTTTAAGTGATTTGAGTGGGTGCTAAACACAATCGCCCCGCTACTATGGAATCTCAGTCGCTATTTTAACAGTTTACGCGTATATTTCCTTTTTCTTCGATGATTAATTTTTATTTTTTTTGCTAACTTCTTTTTGGGTGTCTCATTATATATAATTACTATACTAGCCTCCTACCCTTAGTAAGAAACTGATAAACCATTCGCATAAATTCTCCTTTCAGAAACCTCTACGGTTCTATATCACTTTAAAATTTTATTTTTTATAAAATTTCATATCTAAATGTTTGAAGTTCCAACTCTAAAAATTTTTCAGATTATATATATTTTTTTCATTTGATTTTATTTTTTTTTATTTGAAAAACAATCGAATACTTCGAAACAGAGAATAGGGATTTGAAATCTGATAATTTTAGAGAAAGAACCAGATTATAGTACTTTTTTTACTGATTTTTTTTAATTTTTTTAATCTGAAAAATCAGAGCAATACTTTGAATATAAAGAATACAAATCTGAAATTTCAGATTTGAACTTCAAACATTTATATATGGACTTTTGTAAAAAAGAAAATTTTAGAGTTGGAACTTCAAACATTTAGATATGGAATTTTGAAAAAAATAAAATTTTAAAGTGAGATGGAACCGTGGAGGTTTCTGACAGAGAATTTATGCGAATGGTTTCTCAGTTTCTTTTTAAGGGTATGAGGCAAGTATAATAATTATATATAATGAGAGAAGAGTTAGCAAAAAAATAGTAATTAATTATCGAGAAAGGAAATACAGGCGTCAACTATTAAAGTTAGGGATTAAAATTCTACAGTCGCGAGGGCAACGGTGATTAGCACCCTAAGTCAATTAAATAAATTCTACACAAAAATGATCGAACACTTAATGTGTAAATTGATAGAACCTAAGTCAATAACCTTACAGCTCATGAAACAAAAATGATCAAACACTCAAATGCAAAAAATTGATAGACCTAAGTCAATAAACTTCTTTACAGTCGGTACAATCGATAAAATGAACTTATATTATTTAAATTTGTCAATTTGATACGTGTAATTTGTTTTGGGTAAGTAAATTTGATATTTGCAATTGTGAAAGGATTATTATTATTTTGAATGAATATCAAGTTCCTTTGAAAAAGAATTATTTACATGATATGCTCTTTATTAGATCCAAACAAAGAAGCCGTACATAATAACTTTTCAAGATTTATTGAATAGCAGTTTTAGAATATTAGACTATCTTTACGTGTTGGTATGAGATTAGTCAAGATCATGTGATTTAAAACCGTGTTGGTATGTGATTACTAAAGATCATATATTTTAAAATTATATAAAAATTTCTGGATTGAAAGAAGTGTAGTTAGAACTTAAGACTCATTTATAATTATCTTAAAAATAAAAATAAAAAATATATGCAATTAATCAAGCTAATATGATTTCAAATCGTGTTGACTTGTGATTAATCAGGATCATATGATTTCAAATCCTGTAAAAAATTTAGAATTAAAAGCGGTATGGTAACTAAAAACTCATTTATAATTACCCTAAAAAGAAAAAAACAGAAAAACAGAAAAAGTAGTCCATTTTATGATAATTTTCGCTTTTGTCGGTAAATCATTTTTGGTATCAAAGCAGTCCTTTCCTTCCGATTACGATTCGGCACTCTCTCAAAAGCCAACTTTATATATTTGGACACTTTTGTTGAGCATATTATCGGGCCATTTTTGGAAAGGAATGAATTTGAGAGATCCCACATATGTCGACTGTTGTAGTCAAGATTATCTTGATAAGATAAGCTTGGCCGTTGGATCCCATTCCATAATATCTAGTGGTGGGTTCCAAAACTGTTTGATTAAATCCTTGGAATCAACTTATTGTCCTTGGAATCAACTTATTGTGCATATCTCTGTACATGATACAGTATTTGAGAGAGAGAATAAGTTTTAATGGTGAAAGAGATTGCTTTCGACACTTTGTCAAAGCATATCAACTTTTCAGATTTTATTTTAAGAACTTATAAAATAATTAACTACGATAATCATCGTATTTGTATTCACCAAATCAACTCGCTAGGTCACACGTTTCAACATATTCCATACATAATTGACAAGTCTGTTGTATATTGGATACCAATTGTGAAATTGAATTTCCAACGTTAGGATATACTCATGTTTCTAATTAGGTTGAGTTGAGTTTAAATTGCAATCAAATTTGAAAGTAACTTTTCTACTCAAACCGAAAAAAAAAAAAAAGGGATCTATCAATCTTGAGGAAATTAGGTTGGTTTAAAGTTGACCTGCCCAATCCCTTGTATTACTTACTGATGGCACCAAAACTTGCCAGCCATTTCAGCGATGACGTAGGTTAATAAGGAGTGAATAGGTATTTCTAATATAGCGTAAAGGGAATCGGCCAGTTTGAAAATATCTAAAGCAAATATAGAAAGATATATTTCAGCCACCTAATGGATATGGTAGTTGCTGAAATATAGCAATTGACATTTGACTTTTCTAAAAATGGGCTATTAACATAAAGGAAAAGGGTAGAGTTTGGATGAAACTCAATAACTAAATTCCTATAAAATAGAAAGTTTAGTTGGATGAAAAAAGGAAAGCTCTGAAGACATGACATGTATAGAAGGTTGGGAACATGAAGTGGACAAATCTAATTGTGACAAGTGGCCTTGACATGGCGCTAAATGATGGGCCACTTTGGATAGAACACTGCTGCCAAATTTATAAAAGGAAGTTGCTGAAATATAACAATTGAAGTTGACTAGAGTAAAGGAAGTTTTCCACATGATGAAAGACCATAAGAAGGTTTTAATGGGAAACTGAAATAAAGTGTACAAAGGAAGCAGAGTACTCATGGGTTTTTGACCAAGTTTGATTTTGAAAAGAGAGAAAATCAAGGAAGGGGAGATTTTCTAGCAAAAAGTTAGAAAAATAAGTTGATTAACACTTCTATAAATAGAAGTATTGTAATTCATTCCAATTTGTCTAGCACCACCCATAAATCAACATGAATAAAAAATTCATCAAATGACTCGACGTGATCTTATCTTCAATTCTTTTGTCCAAATGGCAAATTTCATTCGAAGATTATGAGTTCCAGTAACTTATCATTATTTTTGTATTGCTTAATTATGCTATTTACAATTTATTCATTATTTTATGCAAACGGATTCAAATGATAAATCTTTGATCAGATTCATGTCACTTTAATTCGGCCTGTTCATTCCATTGCACCTTTACTTTTCAGTCTATTTTAATTCAGCCAGTTTACTTCTCAGTCCATTTCAATTCAGCTAGTACATTTACTTTAAATTGCATTTTTATTTCTTTTAACACCTTTATAAAAAAAGTCCTTGCAAACAAGGCAGAAAAAGAACCTCGCTGGAAGTTCTTACTATTGTCTCTCCCACACAATTGCCTGAAGTTGGCCATCGAAAAAAGGAATAGGCTGGTGTTCATTTCATAATTTTGAGTATTTTATACAAATACTCTAGCACGCCCGCAAGAGTCCATCGACCGGTGTAAGACCAAAAAACCGCACGAACATACTTTGGCACGCCCAATGGGACCACTAACGAGTGTTAGAAGAAACAAAAATGCCATGGCTTACGAAAAATTCCAAGGCCGTAACCACTGAAGAAGATCCGAAAGAAGAACATCAGCCAGCTTATGTTAGCAGCTCTACCTTGGGCCCTGTGGATGAACTAGCTATACCATCAAAAGTATCAATGGTTCAAACGCAGTTGTGCTCTTTGTTAGAGGCGATGGGAAGAATGAATGCAAGTCAAAACGACCTACACGAAACAATATCTCAGCTTTCAGCCACCATTATGAATAGGCCGGCTCAACCTGGGAGCTATAGCAATCAAGAATCGGCCACTCAGCCGATTTCGTCACAGGTTGTTCAGCCGGTAATGAATACTCAGCCATCAAAGCCGTGGCCGCTGATGGTTCTGCTTCAACCAAATATGATGGCTAATCAGCCACAAGGCTGGCCGAATTATTATCAGCCGCCAATGATATATCAGCAGAGACTCGGGGGACAGCTAATGGCTAACTAGCTAGAAGATTGGCCGAATCATTATCAGCCACCAGCGGAAAATTAGCCACAAGTGGTAAATCAATCACAGCAAGGTTGGCCGATTTATAATCAGCCACTAGCAGAAAATCAGCCGCCAGTGGTATATCAGCCAAAACCTTTTAGCCTCGGGGGGCAGAATATAGCTAATCAACCAAATGATTGGCCGAATTATTATCAACTAGCAGAAAATCAGCCGCCAATGGTAAATCAATCGCAACAAGAATGGCCAGAATATCAACTTGTTTCTTCCATACCATAACTTTCGATATTTGGGGGGTAGCCGATAGCTAATCAGCCACAAAGCTGACCGAATTATAATCAGCCACTAGCGGAAAATCAGCCACTAGTGGTATATCAACCAAAACCTTTGGTACTCAGAGGGCAGTCGATGGCCAATCAGCCACAAATGGTAAATAAGCCACTAATGGTAAATCAAGATTGACCAGTCGCTGATCATCTCAATCAGCCAATGGTGGTCGATAATATTCAGGTGGCTGATATTATTAAGCAAGAATATGGTAATGGCGTTAGGAAAATAGGCCGACCAATGTACAAAAAGCCAAAATCAACCACATCTGGCATTCAAACATGTACCGTCTCGACCA